CCGCCCTGGCATCAGCCCCTACACTGCCTCGAGCCTCGCGCCGACCTCTCTACCAAAACCTGGGAGCACGCCAGCGGGGGCGGCTTCAGCCCCCCCGCATGGCACCACGCCTGCCATTCCTGTCATCGGCCCCCACATGGCCTCAAGCCTCGAGTCGACCCTCCCGCCAAAACCTGGTAGCACGCCAGCGGGGGCGGCTTCAGCCCCCCCGCATGGCACTACGCCTACCATTTCTGTCATCGGTCCCCACGCTGCCTCGAGCCCAGGGGTGACCTCCCCGCCGCAACCTGGTAGCATGGCAGCGGGGCCAGCCTCGGCCGTCTCACGTGCTCACACGCCTGCCCTGGATCCTGGCTCCCTCGCAATCCCGCGTGTTAGCACTAGCACTCCCAGCACTAGCACTGCGACTGTACGGGAGCACCTCGAGCGCTACCTCGGACCACAACCAGCCACCATCGGTTACCTCCGAGCAGTCAACCGTCGTTTGGCAGCTCGGATTCCACCGCGGCTCCACGCCGGCACCGAGGTTGTCGTAAAAGGCCAGGTCCACAACCCCATCAACGGCCTCAGAGGCATCGTACGAGGGCCGTCCAGGGAATACCCAGGCCTCTGGACCGTCACGCTGCCTACTGGTGACACTGCCCACCTCCGCGGTTCCAACTTGACCGTCCCAGCACCTCCGCTGCGCGCCGAGGTGCCGCCCACCAGTACAGGCATACTCACGAGGGCGCCAATTCAGGACCCCCAGCCGGCCCCCGCAGCGTACACAAGTTGCATCAGTCTGGCGGCACGGCGGCCTGACGACTCAGCGGCGGCACCCTGCAAGTCGGCCTCGCTGCCTGCCGCCAGCAGCCGCGATCAGACGGACAACACGGCTGGCCACGACGAAGGCCTCGGTGGCTCACGCGATGACGGTGACGACGACGGCCTCTTCCTCGGGGTACAGGTCGAGATCACCGCACCGACCAGCCCTCTGCGTGGATACATCGGCACAACCATCGACTTGTCTGGCGACCGCGTCGTGGTCCAGTTCGCCGGCGGTCTCACCGTCGGTTGGAGCCGCTCCGATGTGACTCGCGTTCGAAAAGACCCAGGGCTTCGGCTGTCAGGCAGCGCGCAGAAACTGATGCGGCGCCTCGACCAGTCGCCGCGCCCCTTCCCCGGGACTGCCCTGGAACCCCTCCATGACATCCCGGAGGAGCCTGTCCCTGCTGACCTCCCGCCTGCCCCCTGGACGGCAACATCGGTGGAAAACACAAGTGTCTGTTGTTCACACCTGCTACACATGCGTACAAACACTCACTCTGACTCTATTCTGTGATGTCAGAAACAAGGATGCCGCCACACAGTGCCTCAGCCTGTTGGGTCAGAAACAAGGATGCCGCCACACAGTGTCTCTCCCCTGCCGGCACGAGCGGCGGTGTTCGAAATGGGACCTCTTCCACAAACGTCTTTATGCCTGCTGCGGGGGTGGCGGCTTCAGCCCCTCCCCACGCACTCGTGTCTTCACGCCATGTCATGTCCGCCATGTCGTTGCGGGCGCATCCGCTGTGAGGGCCTCCACTGCACCTTAGCACTGTCTCTGCCTGTGAGCATGCGGGCCATTCGGCTCCCAGCATGTGCACCTTTTCCTCGGCGCGTCTGGCGCCCCTCTGCTGTCCGCCGCCTGGCCGCGGACTCTGTCACTTTCGAGGTCCGCCAATGGGGGCTAAAGGTTAGCTGGCAGCGGCTGATGCCGCTGTGCTGTCGGCTAGCCTTTGCCGCTCCTGTTGGGGTTCTCGGCCTGTGCGCACTGTGCTGGGCCATACGGCTCCCAGCTGGTGCACCTTTTCCCTTTTCGCCAGCCCGTGCGCCCGCGAGGCACCGCGGCCACGGGGCCTGGGCGTGGGGGCGGGGGGTGCCCCGTCTCTGCGCGCCGCGCTGCGGCCAAGCGCCCAACCGGCGGTCCGCCAAGCCGCCTTAGCCACGTTTTCACGTCGCCACTAGCGTTGGGGCCTTTTTCTTCACGCGGTCTGACTGGTGAGATCTTCACAGTCTGTCCGCCGTCCGTTGCTTCAGACGCAATGCGCCGGGGGAAGGGGCCTGTTGCCCGCCCTCGTATCTTAAGGCTGCACCGCCGCTAATAGTGCATGCGAGTTGTCGCACCGCAGTGCGCCTCGCGGACGGACCCTGGTCCGCCCACTTGTCCGCTCTCTCTCTCTCTCGCTCTCTCTCTCTCTCTCTCTCTCTCTCTCTCTCTCTCTCTCTCTCTCTCTCTCTCTCGCTCTCTCTCTCTCTCTCTCTCTCTCTCTCTCTCTCTCTCTCTCTCTCTCTCTCTCTCTCTCTCTCTCTCTCTCTCTCTCTCTCTCTCTCTCTCTCTCTCTGCTCTCTTCGCTACTGGCTTCTGACGGAGTCTGGGTTAGGTGAGCCTGAGTGTGGGTGAGTCTGAGTATGGGTACGTCTGTGTGTGCCTGACTCTGAAGAAATGAATCTGAGTGTGAGTGAGCTTGTGTATGAGTGAGTCTGGGTGCGAGTCTGAATCCCAATGGTGCCCCTGGCAGTGTCTGGCGACTAGGAGGCCCGGGTCGACTCCTCTTTGGGAAGCCAAAATGCTGCCCCTGGCAGCGTTTGGTGACTATGAAGCCCCTGGTGGACCCCCCCTGGGGCTCCCAAATGATGCCCCTGGCAGCGTTTTGCGACCATGAGGCTCTCAAGAGAGACATGTTGGGGGCCAAACGGCAATTCCCCTGGCAGCGTTTTGTGACCATGAGGCTCTCAAGAGAGACACGTTGGGGAGGCCAAACGGCAATTTTAGCTGAGACGTCCCACCAAAATCGGCGCGAACGGGCTCGTGAGATCAGCCAGGGTGGCTCCCCCTTGGGGCTCCCAAATGATGCCCCTGGCAGCGTTTTGCGACCATGAGGCTCTCAAGAGAGACATGTTGGGGAGGCCAAACGGCAATTTTAGCTGAGACGTCCCACCAAAATCGGCGCGAACGGGCTCGTGAGATCAGCCAGGGTGGCTCCCCCTTGGGGCTCCCAAATGATGCCCCTGGCAGCGTTTTGTGACCATGAGGCTCTCAAGAGAGACATGTAGGGGAGGCCAAACGGCAATTTTAGCTGAGACGTCCCACCAAAATCGGCGCGAACGGGCTCGTGAGATCAGCCAGGGTGGCTCCCCCTTGGGGCTCCCAAATGATGCCCCTGGCAGCGTTTTGTGATCATGAGAGAGTGTGAGTGTGAGTGAATGTGACTGTGAGTGAGTCTGAGTGAGAGTGAGTCTCATCTTATCTTATCGAGTCCTATCTTATCTTACCTTTAGTACCCTCTATCTTATCTTATCTTGAAATATCTTATATTGTCTTAGCTTATCTTATATCAACTCATCTTATCGCATCATATCTTGTCTTATCTTATTACTCCATAGGCTGTCTTATTTTATCTATTATCCTACCTTGTCATATATCTTATCTTACATTATCATATCTTGTGCTATATTATCTTATCTTGTAGTATCTTATCTTGTCTTGTCTTATCTGGTGATTATCATTGGGAAGAGGGAGGCGCGAGCGGGAGGAAGAAGGAGGAGGAGGAGGAGTGGGAGGCGTCAGAGTAATAACAAGAACCCCAATCCTTAGGATATGGGGAAAAATACGCTCATAAGCCTCGAATGAAACCTGGACCGCTTCAGGGGCTGCCCAGCAACCATGCGGGATCCCGTCGGGCCCAGGGCAGAGTGACTTTTGTGCCGCACCCTTCGGGAGAATTCGCTATGGTCGAGACGCCACCTTGGAGGGTCAGGGCAGACCTCACACCGCTGAACGTGCTCGAGATTGGCAGGCCAGCGCTGTGCATTGTGCTCCTGGTACGCGACCAATGTGCAGCCAAGGTGCTGGCAGCGATATCGGGGCTCGGACACGGCATGCCCCCTTCGTCAAAAACACCACGGAGTCCCACGCGCCTCTTCATCGACGCCCACCCCCTCCTCAGCGCAACCAGCCTCTTCTTCCGTCGATGTTTAACCTCCTCAACCTCACCACTATGCTCGACCTCCTCCTCCTCACGATCGAACCACCGGAGCTTCAAGATAACAATGAGAGAGTGAAGCCCGTCAGGATCAGTGCAAACTCCACGGTCGACATCGAAGAAACGGTAAAGAGCACCATAGCAGCGCAGCGCGCGGAGACATAAATTCCACTGCTGCCCTCTCCGTCCCCGCTATGCAAAAAAAAACAAAGTGGAGTCACTCCGCGTCGTTCGAGGCCTGCCTGGACTTAAGAGACTGACGAAATTCAGTAGCTACCGTGGCAAAGAGGGCCTTCACTTTAAGTACCCTCTCCTCTAAGTTACTCGGTAAGGCCAACGTCTGTAGTTGTTCGCTGGCCATCTGGCGGTATTCCGCGTGCATGCTGAGCCACTTCGGAATCGAGAACAGCCCAGTAGTTGTTGGAAGCGCCAGGGAAAACGCAACAGGAATATGGTCCGACGGCGCCCCAGGATGAGTCAGAGTACCAACAGCAATCGCTGTTACCCTCATCTCATTCAGGATGCCCGCTTGGAGGGTGTTGTACGCACGGTCAAGCCCCGAGAAACTGCGGAAGGCCCCTCCCCTGATGTCCCTTCGGGCGGGGTCAGGCTGGTGCAGCTCGCACCACTGACCACCGATTTCCTGGAACGCATCGCACTGCGCGCGGTCCCCTGGACCAAAGGAACCGTCACCGAGGAATCTGCCATCTTCCATATGTACAAAGTTCCAGTCCTCCAGGATGATCGACATACAATGAGCAGCCGGCGGCAGCACACTTTCAATTGCACGCAGGTGCCGTTTTTCTCAAACATGTCATCACAAGCAGAGGAAGAGGAGGAGGAAACGGAGGAGGAGGAGGAAGAGGAGGAAACGGAGGAGGAGGAGGAGAAGGAGGAGGAGGAGGAGGAAGAGGAGGAAGAGGAGGAGGAAGGAAGAGGGAAGAGGAGGAAACGGAGGAGGAGGAGGAGGAGGAAGTGCTACTTATCGCCAATAGCCTCGCCCTCACCGCGGAGCTGGTCGAACGCGGCCTCGACGGCGTCAGCCCGGATGGGCGCATCCCTGGAGGCCTTGCCCTTGGCGTCCTCCGCCGAGCAGCGTTGCCGCCGCCGCGGCCGCCGCCGCAGTCGTCGTCGTCGTCGTCGTCGTCGTCGTCGTCGTCGTCGTCGCCGTCCCCTCTTCCTCCTCCTCCTCCTCCTCATTCACCTCCTCCTCCTCCACCTCGACCTTGACCTTGCCCCTCCTTCCCCCACTCCACAATTGCGTACACACTATGAATACTACTCTCCTCTTTCCCCTGACTATGTCCAGAAGTTGTTCTGCCATCCGCGTACTGTTCTACACACAGAATTGGACAAAGGTAGTCTTTCCGATCGTGCTCTGCACTGCGATTGTTTTCGGTGTTCCAAAATCGTGCTCCCGCTGCAGTGTGGGCCTCATGTTCGGATCGGCGCTTTGCTCCTGCCGTTCAGAATGGCGCTCTCGCACCAGCGTGGGCCATTTTTCTGGATCCGAGTCTTTCCTCGTGGTTGTCGCCCCCTCCTTTACCCTCCTCCACCTTCCCCTGGTCATCCTGCTCCTGTCGCTCATTCCAGTCCAGTTCCCGCTGCTGCTGTTCGTCCTCGTCCTCCTCTTCCTTCCTCATCCTCCCTCTTTTCCTCCTGCCTATCTCCTCCGCCTTCCCCTGGTCCTCCTGCTCCTCTCTCTCCTTCCACTCCAGTTTCTGCTGCTTCTGTTCGTCCTCGTCCTCCTCCTTCCTCCTCCTCTTCCTTTTCCTCCTGCTCATCTTCCTGCTCAACCGTCTCCTCATCCTCCTCCTGCTCCTCCTCCTCCTCCTCCTCTTCCTCCTCCTCCTATGTGTGCAGTTCCCTTTGATCCGATTGCGCACAACACGACTGTTTTTGTTTTTGGAGTTCAAGATCGGCCAGGACCCGCGTCCGCGACGAAAACAATCAGCGCAATGCGAAGGTGATGGAAAAAGGGATGTCAGGTACAGCGCGACCGCACCTAGCTTGTCCCTCCCCCCTCTTCCCTCCATCCCCCTCCCTCCATCATTCCTCCTCCGTCCAATTCCGTCCTCTTCTTCCTCCTCCTCCTCCGCCTCCTCCCTCCTCCCTCCTCTTTTCTCCCTCCCTCGTCCCTCCATCCTCCGTCCGATTCCGTCCTCCGTCCCTCCTCATGCATCCTCTTCCATCCCTCTCTCCCTCTCTCTTCCCCCCACCTCCCTCCTCTTTCCTTCCCCTTCCTACTTCCTCCTGCATCCTACTTCCTCCTCTTTCCTCCCCCTCCTCGCGATGAAGGCCCAAGCCCGTGCTCAGCGTCATGCCAGCCTGGCGTGGCAGCAGACCCGCAGCGAGATCGGCAAGTGGGCGATCGACAACACCAAGGGCTCCATGAAGGGCGCCCACCGCTTCCTCAAGAAGCTGGAGCAGCAGGCGCTGGCGGAGACCTGCCTGGAGGCCGCTGGGCAGGAGGTGTGCGACACGGTGCAGATGACCACTGAGATCAGAGCGGCCTGCTGGGCGGGGCGGTGGACATCCCAGTCACACCCGCTGCCAGCGATCCGCGCTGCCCTCGGTGAGCTTCGTCACCATGCCCACGGGGAGCTGGCGCAGCGACCCTACCACGACCGCGACAGCCCGGTGCAGGCTCTGCGGTCTTTCTCCAACTCTACGGGCAAGGGTCCGGACCAGTGGGCGCCCGCCCACATTCTGGCGCTGTCCGACCAGGGACGGGAGGCCTCCGTCACGCTCTTGAACATGATCGAACGCAGCCTCACTTGGCCGCATCAGTTACTTCACAACTGGTGCGCCCTGCTCCCGAGGGGCACCAAGCAGGAGAAGGGCAACGAGCGCGACATCGGCCTGCTGCCGATGCCAGCTCGCATCTGGGGTCGCATGACGAAGACCGCTTTGACAGAGTGGTGTGATGAGAAGGCAGCGCACTGGGACGCCGCCGTCAAGTGCAGCAATGCGCTCCAGGCCGCGATGCTCAGGGCGCACGTGGGCATCAACGAGCAGAGCAATTTCCTGGTGGACGGCGAGGAGTTCTACGACCACATGGATTTGGAGCTCATGTTGGAGCTCATGATCCGCCAGGCCATGGACTTAGAGTCCCCCTCCATTGAACTCTACCTGTGTTGCCTCGCCTACCTGGCGCCGCGCGTGGTGAAGGCCAACGGCGCTTTTGCAGAGGCCATCGTTCCCAACTGCTCCATCGTGCCAGGCTGCGGGAAGGCCAACCTTTGTGCGCGCGTCTTCCTGTATCGGCTACTTGAACGAGCACACGAGAAGGCTCCTATGGCACGTATACGTCAGTATGTAGATGATGTTTACACTCGAGTTGAAGGACCAGGTCACTTAGTCTTGGAGCAGACGAAGCACGTGACAGGTGCTTTAGTGCAGGGCATGTTGGACATGGGTCTGAAGGTCTCGCCGAAGTCCATGCTGATGATGACCAACCCTGAGCACGAGGACCTGGTGTTGCAGCACGTCGCCTCCACCACGGGCATCAAGATCAAGAAGACTAAATGGGCCAAGGACCTGGGAGTGGACTGTTCGATGGGTGTTCGGCGAGCTTGCACTACCACCAAGGGCCGTATGTCAGTGGCGCAGGCGAAGGCGATACGAACGAGCTTGTTTCGACGACTTGGACGTGGCGGCAAGAGAACTAAAGGAATCATGTTGTACAAGACCAATACCCGAACGAAGTTCAGCTACGCAGATCCAGTCTTGGGTATCGCCCCCTCGGAAGTAGTGCGACTTCGTGCGCAAGCTGCAGATCTAGCTGGACACACTGTCGGTGGACGCTGCACTGCCACCATCATGATGTTGCACTACCAAGACGACGAACCCAGGATGAGCGCGATCATGGAGCAGGTGAAGCACTGGTTCAAGTTCTGGTCATCACATCCTGAGCTACACGACCGAGTTCGTAAAGGATGGATTGCGGTTCTCCGACGGCTGATCTACTTGAAGGCGCGGTCTCGCTGGCGATGGGCCACTGGACCGATGGGTGCGATAATACTTACGCTGAGAGATCTTGGTTGGGTTCCGCGAACACCAGACCGATGGATAGATGATAACGGAGATCAGGACATCCATTCGTAAAGAATTGTGGCAACAGGCTGGAGCGCATGCAACAGGACAGGGACTTGCCGGTGGAGGTGACCTTCACATGCTTCGAGTCAACCTACGACGTTTGCGACGCCAGGGACGACTAGCTGAAGCAGGGGCTCTGGAGGCGAATTCTCTGGCCAGCATATGGACGAAGGCTCGCGCCAAATCTGTTGGCTACCAGATAGATGATGATTGCCCACGTTGTGAGTTGGCAAAAGACACGATAGCCCACCGCCTGTACGATTGCATGCAGAATGCTGGACTCGAGCACGAGTGGGTGCTCCGCACGGAAGGATTGTGTGAGGTTGCGCAGAAAGACTTGAGTGAGGGCAAGCATGTAGGTTTTTGGACCAGGGGGATAGTTCCACAGGAGTGGAACCCAGTGCCCCCCCCCAGCTTGGGACTCTGGCCTTGGGCAAGATGTCTGGGCCGTGGGTCTCCCTCCGCCTGACCTCGACTCCTCCCTCGACCTCCTCCCCTCGTGCACCTACCCCCTCCAGGTCCAAGTAGGCTTGCTTGATGGCTCGGCCACGTCCAGTGACGCCCGTGTCTGTCGTGTCGGATGGGGGGTCTACTTTCGTGGGGAGGGGGAGGCTGAACTGGACGTGGACCAGGAGGCTCTCCGAGGGCTGTATGGAACCATCGATAGGGACCAGACTGTGTCAGCTTCTGAGCTGGCTGCGCTGTTTTGGGCCCTGAGGGTCACCATGGGACCCATCCTCCTGTGGACGGATTGCCAGCTGGTCTTCGACGGTTGGAACCTAGGCTTTGGAGAGAGCCCCCAAGGGCCCTTGATCCGATGGTGGACCCGAATTCGGCGTGCTCTCGAAGCTCGAGGGGAGGACCGAGTCAGGGCCCAAACATGTTTTTCTCACTTGGATGTAGATTCCCATGTAAAGACAGGCCAACAAATAAAGTATATCGTGGGAGCGAGATGGCGGACACGCCGGCCCAGCGCGGAGCTGAGGCCGCCTCCGATGTGATTAGAAACCAGATCAAGGCCCTCAATTTAATCGATGCGAGGGCCACTTTAGTGCACCAGAGAAAGGGGCGCTATTTTGGCCCAGACCTGTAGTGAGGACGATTAGTCGTGTCGTGGGGAGTTCGGGACGGCGGGGTCGGATGGAAGACTCACGAGAATTCAGGAGCTTGAGGTCCGATCGGGCCACAGCCTCCGACGCCTGGCCAATGGATCTGTGACATCTGCCGCCAAACTCCTGGGCGATTTTCCGTGATTGACTGGTTGCGAGCAGGTTTGTGCCTTGGGGATGAAGCCTCGAGGGACCTCAGCGAGCAAGGCCACCACGTTCATGTTCCCCCCACCTTGGTTAGAACCCTCCGAGTTGGCGCCAAATCTGTTCACCCCACGCACTCGATCGCCATGCAGCATGGCTTGGCGTAGTGTTGGGGATGCGCTCGATATGCGACTATCGTGTGATGTAAAGGCAGGCTGTGCAAGATTGCTGAGGTGTACCCGAGAGTACAAACACCTTCGGGGCGCACCATGCTTAACCGTCTCCGTAAGGGCTGCCCTCCGAAAGCGGGGATGAAGTGGCCTATTCCCCCCGCTGGGGGGGGAGTGGACCTCCCATGCCTGTGTTGGGTAGTTCCTCCAAGGACTTTGGGAAGCGGACGGACGGGGGGGCTGGACGCTCGCTGAGGAACCCTCCCCCCCGAAGGCAGCGTGCAATTACGAGTAATCCCACCAGCCCTCTGGGCGTCGGTGGTTTAACGAGTTTCCTCTTCCACCCCTCCCTCTTCCCCTTCGGGGAGGGGTTTACCCCTACCCCTACCCCCTCCCCACTGACCTGGACAGGGGGTTCCGCGGCGCGTTGGAACGCCCAAGATGGCCCAAGACGGCTCCAAGAGGGCCTCAGGGAGCCCAAGATACCCTCCAAGATGGCTCAAGATAGCGCAAGATGCCTCAAGATGGTCCCCATGACGTTCCAAGACGTTCCAAGAACTCTCCAAGACGGTTCCAAGTGTCCACAAGAGCATCATTAGGATGCATCCAAGAGGCCAACATGCTTCAAAACCCTGGGGAAAATCAATGTTTTTGGTGTTCTCACTTTTTCGCTTGCGATGCACATCCGAGGCGTCAAGATGGCTCCAAGATGGCTCAAGATAGCTCCAAGAAGGGCCCAAGAAAGCCCCATGACGGCGCCAAGAGCGCCGAAGAGCGCTCCAAGAGCGGTCCCAGAGCGGTACAGGAGACGATTTTTGGAGTTCCTGGGGGGGGCTCTAATTAAGAAGCCCTACTTCCTTGGCCGATGTCCTCCAAAATTGCTCCAAGAGCGCCCCAGCAGGGCCTTCAAGGGCGCCCAGACGGGTCCGAAGGCCCCCAGGATGCCCCAAGAGGCCGCAGGATGGCCCCAAGATGGCCCCAAGAGGCCCCCCAAGAGGCCCCCAGGAGGCCCCCAAGAGACCCCCAAGAGGCCCCAAGAGACCCCCCAGAGGCACCCAAGGGGCAAAGATGGCCCCAAGAAGCGCCCAGGAGGCCCCCAAAGGCTCCAAGATGGCCCCAAGAGGCCCCAAGAGGCCCCCAGGAGGCCCCAAAGAGGATCCCGAACGAGGCCCCCCCGAGGCACCCAAGACGCCGAAAAGCCCCTCAGGACGACCCTCTACTCGCCTGGGCGTCGTTTCTGGACGGGCTGGTGGGGATATTTTTTTTTTACAGCCGCAGGCGGAAGCGCCAGCGGCAGGCGGTCACGGTCGGGTTGCGGCCGCGACTAGGGAGCGGGCGCGCGCGGGGCCGCGGTCAGGCGGGCTGGTGGGGATACGCGAAGCGTCTAGAATTTAACAGCGAGGAGGCGTAGCAACGCTTCGACCTTCTCTGTAGCAGCAATCTCCAGCAATCTCCTCCCCCTCCTCCTCCTCTGCTGTCCCTCCCTCCGTCCCTCTCATCCCTCCCTCCCTCTCTCCTCCTGGTCCTCCCCCGCCCCTCTCCTTCTGGCGGGACGGCGGCCGCGGGAACCGGAACTGGGGCCGCTCCTTCTTGCCCTTGTCCTTGCCGCCGGCCATGTGGTCTTTCCAGGTCTGCTCGAGGTTCCTCCCGCTCGCCGATGCATGCGAGGGGAGGAGCGGGCAAGGAGAAAGAGGAGCAGAGTTCCTCATCCCTCCTCCCTCCCTCCCCTCCCTCCCAACCCTACCACACTCCTTCCCCACTCTCCCTCCCTCCCTCCCTCCCTCCCTCCTCCTCCTCCTCCCTCCCTCCTCCCTCCCTCCTCCCTCCCTCCTCCCTCCTCGTCCTCGTCCTCGTCCTCGTCCTCGTCCTCGTCCTCGTCCTCGTTCCTCCCCTCCTCCTCCTCCTCCTCCCTTGTTAAGTTAGACCAGCATTAGGAGCATCCTCCTCCTCCTCCTCCTCCTCCTCCTCCTCCTCCTCCTCCTCCTCCCCCTCCTCCTCCACTCCACCTCCTCCTCCTCCTCCTCCTCCTCCTCCTCCTCCTCCTCCTCCTCCCACTCCACCTCCTCCTCCTCCTCCTCCTCCTCCCCCTCCTCCTCCTCCTCCTCCTCCTCCTCCTCCTCCTCCTCCTCCTCATCATCATCATCCTCATCATCATCATCCTCATCCTCATCCTCATCCTCATCCTCATCCTCATCCTCATCATCATCATCATCATCATCATCATCATCATCATCACCAGCAGCACCATCATCATCATCATCACCCTCAGCATACTCATCATCATCATAATCATCATCAGCAGCATCATCATCATCGTCATCGTCATCATCGTCATCATCATCACCAGCATCATCATTATCATCATATGATTCATCATCATCACCATCACTGTCACCATCATCACCAACAACATGATCATGATCATGATCCTGATCATGCTCATGACCACCATCATCATCAGTATCATCATCATCATCATCATCATCATCATCATCATCATCATTATCATCATCATCATCAGCATAATCAGCATCATAAGCAACATCAGCATCATCAGCATCATCATCGTCCTCATGATCATGACCATGATCATCATCATCATCATAATCAGCATCATCATCAGCATCAGCATCATCATCAGCATTATCATCGATTGGGGAACAAAAGTCTCTCCAGCCCATGTCGCACAACCCGACTACGTTGCCGCTCCCGCTGGTGACCTAGATGATGGTTGGAACAGGAGGGAATGGCGAGGAGGGGATGGGAGGAGGGGAAAAGAGGCGACGTGGGAGGAAGAACGGAGAGGAAGGATCGGTGAATTGGATACGAACAAAAAGGCGGGGGAGAGGGGTGAGCGGGGGGGAACGAAAACAGGAGGGAAAGGGAGGAAGGGAGAGGCGAAGGTGACAAGCTAAATGCGGTCGCGCCACATCTGATACCGGGCCCCTCCCACCCAACCCTTCCCATTGCGTTGATCTATCTCTATCCGCCGACGCGTGCAATAGCGGACCTAAAACCCCCAAAAAGACCCCGTCGTGCCATGCGCAGTCGGAAAAAGGGAGCCACGTATATTGGATGAGGAGGTGGCGGATGAGCAGGAGAGTGGCAGTAGGAAAAGCAGGAGGATGAGGAAGGAGGAGGACGAGGACGAACATAAGCAGCAGGAACTGGTGTGGAAGGAGAGAGAGGAGCAGGAGGACCAGGGAAGGCGGAGGAGCTGGGCAGAAGGAAAAGAGAAGGAAGAGGAGGACGAGGACGAACAGCAGCAGCGGGAACTGGAGGGGAGGGAGCGGGGGCAGCGAGAGGGCCAGGGGAAGGCGGAGGAGGGGAAGCGAGGGGGATGACAACGATGAGGAAGGACTCGGATCCAGAAAACGTGGCCAGCGCTGGGGCGAGAGCGCCATCATGAACGACGGGAGCAAAGCGCCGATCCAAAACTGCAGCGGGAGCGCTATTTTGTGAAAGCCAAGCACGTTCGGATGGAACAAACGTGTGAGAACACCAGCTAGGATGAATCCAAAACTGGAGGAGGAGAGCGGCGAGTCGTGGTCGTATGCGAAATTGTTGAGGCGAGACGGGGGAGAGAAGGCAGCGAGGGGGGGGGGAATGGAAGGGAGGCGGAGGAGTGGGGGGCAGCAGAAACTGGGCGGGATGGATGATGACGATGTTGGCGGTGATGGTGAACAAGAGGTGCGACGAGACGCCGTTGCCAGGAAAACTGTGCCGAGGACATCCCGCCAGGGCCCGCGAGCGGGCCCAAACGATGCGCGAAGGGTGCAGCCCCCTCGCATATCCCCCCGGCGCCACGCGGCGGATACGGTCGGGGAGGCGAGGCCCCCGGAGGCCCACGGGCAGTCACAGGACCACGACGCCAGACGGTGACAGCAGGCAGCGGCAAAGCCACGACGTCAGGGGGCGAGCTGCCGTCTGGGCCAGCGGCCGACGGTCTCCTTCCAGTCGCGCCCGCACGAGAGGGCCTGTGCAGCGGCCGCTGGCAGGCTCGAGCGCCACGGCTCGGGAAGCGACGGCAGGCGGCGCCTCGCCCAGACGAGCATCCGCGTCGCAGGCGGGTGAGCTCCTGCCGCGGGCTGCTCGTCGTCGGGTGCCGACCACGCCTGAGCCTCGCCAGGGCCATGGCCATCCTGTCGTTCCTGGTCCTGCGTGGGCACTCGTCGTCCAGCCCCGAGCGCCTCGCCGAGACCGCCACCGCCGCACGGTGCCAGCAGAACAGCGATCTTGCCGTCCATGGCAGAGTAGATCGCGTGGGACTGGTGGAATGGGCGGCCACACCACGGCTGGCGGGGGTCTGCAAGCTCCATCGACTGCGGAGGGGCGGCGGCCGCTGCGCTTCCCTCGGCCGCCGGGGCCGCAGCCTGGCGGGCCCTGGGCCGCGGCTGGCATCGGGCGGGGTCGCTTCCTCGGCGGGTAGCAGGCCGCGTCCATGCCAAGGCCGACCTACGGCCTGGGCGGCTGGCTCGCCGCTGCTGCCGAGGGCGCGGCCGCGCGGCCCTCGCCGGTCTCGGGCCGAGCGTCGGCGGGGGCGGACGCAGCTTGACGCGGGCGGCGGAGTCGAGGACCGTCGCTGGAGGCTCGGCTCCCGCCGCGGCCGCGGCGGCGAGCGCGACCGTCAGGCCGCGGGGCTTCCCACGGGCGGAAGCGCCGACCCTTCGGGCAGGATGTCGCCGAGGTCCTCGGCGAGCGCTGCGGTGGACGAGTAGAGGCGTGCTGGCCGTTGCCGAAGGTCACGTCTGTCTGCAGGTGCGAGTCGCCATCCCCTCGAGGAGCAGGGCAGCGAAGCGAGTCCCCGGCCCACGCACCCGCGGAGGCCCTGGCCGCCCGTCTGGTGGCCCCAGCGCCCAGCGGCCACAGCGGCGCGCCAGAGCGATTCAGAATCCCGCCGCGGCCGGCCTCGGCGCCCGCGGTGGCCGCAGCCGCGGCGCGCGCAGGCGGCGCAACTCCACGCCGCCGCTTCGCTGGAGACGGGGAGGTCGGTGCCGTGGCTGCCGCAGGCGAAGCGCTCGCAGCCGTGGAGGTTGACCTCGCAGACTCGCGTCGCCTTCTTCCTGCAGTGGCGTCACTCGATGGTGCCGATGCTCTGGCCGTGCCCGGCTGAGAGCCGTCGGCGATGATCACCGTATCCAGTGCCTGGAGCCACCACACAAAAGCGGCTGCAAGGCGGGTGGGGGGCTCGGCGTTCCGGTCACCGCCTAGCACTGATGGGCGACCAGCCGAAGCCACGACGCCGCCGATGGCGGCCAGCGCCGTCTGCGACTCCGAACCCGCGCTGTCGTTGCTTGGCGGCGAGCGAGGGGGGGAAGTGAGATGGGGCGGGCCTTCTCAGAAGGCTCGGAAGTCCTCCAGCCTTCTAAATTTCCTGAGCCTTCCCCGAAAACAGAGAAAGCTTCTCAGAAGGCACGAGAGCTTCCGAGAGAAATCCCGCCGCCTTCCGAGAAGGCCCCTCGGTCACCGCCGAAAGGTGCACAAAGCCACGCATGATGCCGCCCTTCATGCGGCGGACGTGCACGAGGGTGGCGCGCCCGGGGGGCGGCGGTCCTGCCCTGCCCGGCGGGGGGGATGGCGCATCCCGCGGGCGGCGGCGACGGCGGCCGTCGGTGCCTACCGACGCAGCTCGCTGCCGCGCGGCGTCGGTGCTGCCAGGACGTGCCGTGCCTGGCGTGCTGGCGCAGTGCACGCCACGGTTGCCGCATCACTGCTCGGCGAGCATCACGCACGCTGGCGCGGCTGAGCTTCCGGTGCCAAACGCGCGCACGTCGTTGGGGTGCTGATGCCAGCAAGTGGTGGGTGGGGTCGGCCCAGAGTGTGGTCGCAGTGCCCAATCCCGAGGTGTTGACCGTGGTGATACTGAGGTTGGAGACGGCCGCGCTGCCGAAGTCGCTCTGCGAGTTGGATATTTCTTCCCGATGACGGGCTTAAAGCGCCGTCTCCTCGTCGACGATCACACCTACGGGCTGCCCTGTTCGGGGTGGAACCTGTAGCACCCTTCGTGGCGAAGGTCAACCAAACACTGCGGGACATCGCCGATGACGTGGGAGGACATTGTGGCTGCTCAGCACGATCCCCTTGGAAACTCATCTGTGCATCCTCGCGGCTACCCGTTGGGCTTGGTTGTGCGTGCCCGCTTAGTGCGCTGCTGGATAAGCTCCAGCAAGCGCTTCGTGTGCTCGGCTGCGGCGTCGGCTGCCGAGGCTGAGCCCCCAACGGGGCCTGCCGAGTCACCAGCACCGGCAGGGGCATCGCCAGCATTCAGAACCAGGCCGCCCTCGCGCATGCTGTTCTACAAGGCCCTCTATGTCGACGTCGGGTGCTTCTGGGACTGCCTGCTGCGCCGCAGGCGCGGCGGCGGCCTGTTGCCCTGGCGGCAGGGCCTGGCGTGCAACGGATTTGGCCTCGTCCACATCCCCAGGCCACCCGACTTCGCGCATCGCGCCCCGCGATGCGCGACGCACGGAGATATTTGCGCCCTCGCGCCGCCGCCCTGGAGACGGGTGCCTCTCCAACCCACGCCGCGATGCGCGAAGCGCAATTACAGCAGGAAATGAGACCCTCCGCTCTGGCCAAACTGAAGTACACCCGGGGGTGTCCATCCCCCGGGATGCACCAGAGCATCCAACAACCAAAGAACATTCGGGTACCCTCCCCGAACCGACCTCGATTGTATACCTCGGTCAGACTGTATCTTCCCGCCCCTGGGGGGAGGAGGAGGAGGAGGAGGAGGAGAAGGAGGAGGAGGAGGAGGAGGAGGAGGAGGAGGACGAGGAGGAGGCGGAGGAGGAGGAGGAGGAGGAGGAGGACCGGTGTAAACCGACGACTCATCAACGATGTTGAAATACGCAACTCCCTCCAATATCCCTCGTCATAAGCCCCTACGCTGGGTCATTTCCATTGAAGAATTGCCCCAGTGGGAGACGCCCGTGTGAACAGCTTGAAACGTGCAGAACAACAATTATCAGGACTTCAACGCCACGAGTTACCCTGGCTGTTATGTTTTGGCGATCCTAGATCGTGCCAGAACACCATTCCTGGGACTCCAGCACCGCGAATCATCGTAATTGTTGCGCCCTAATAATCATGAGCCGTTCCAACACATATTTTCTGATACGTTAACCATGGGAACCAGTGAAACTCCTGCAACTGTTAAGAGTAAATGTGCGCGGCGCTAAGGCGACTCTATCAACTGTTGAAAACAAATGTGCGCGGCGCTAAGGCAAGACCACATATTGAAAACCACCCGCCCTCAATACGTGAAACTCCTGCAAATGTTTAAAGTGAATCTGCGCGGCGCTAAGACAAGAACCACATGTTCAAAACGAACCGCCCTCTTGCAAGCTTCTAACAAGGAGCATGCGCGGCGCTAAGGCAAGAACCACATTATAACAACGACCCGCCTTCAATGCGTGAAGTTCTTGCATTGTGTTTAAACGAATGTGCGCGGCGCTGAGGCAAGAACCACATGTTCAAAAAAAACGCCCTCAATCCGCGAAACTCTTGCAAATGTTTAAAACGAATGTGCGCGGCGCTGAGGCGAGAGCCACATTGCGAAAACCACCCACCCTCCATGTGTGAAGCTCTTACATGTATTTGAAACGAATGCGCGCGGCGCTAAGGCGAGAGCCACATTTTGAAAACGGCCCGCCCTCCTCTGCGAAACTGTTGTCAGAGCATCGAGGCCATACATGGTGTGGAGGTCTCAGGCGGAGCGCCCGGCCCGCCTTTCCGACCGGCCTCGGGGTGCGACAGGGAGAAGTTATCTATGAGGAAAAGTCATGGAGGAGGAGGAGGAGGAGGAAGAGTGAGGAGGAAGAGTGAGGAGGAGGAGGGAGGAGGAGGAGGAGGACGAGGAGGAGGGAGGAGGAGGGAGGAGGAGGATGGAGGATGGAGGATGGAGGAGGACGAGGAGGAGGAGGAGGGGTGCCCGAGACCAAATGAGCTGATCGAGCGAGGGCCGCGCCCTCGCGGTCGACCTGCAGCTTTTAAGAGCCTCGAGGTCGGCTACCGTTTTGCTCCTCAGCTCCCCGAGGTCCGACTGCGCGCCCTGCAGGGCCACGGCTCCTTGCCACCGCTCGGACGTCCATTCCTTGTGCGTGCTTCGGCTTCGTGCGCGCATGTATTCGCAAGGTGACCCAGACTGCTCCTTGATGGTCCTCGCCGAGAAAAAAACGCACGCGTCCGAGCGATGCCAGGGCTTTCTCCCTGGCTCCGATCAGCGCGCGCTTCGCCTCGGACGGCGTTCTCCTGGTGAGCCTGCTCTCTTCGGGAGGGGGAGGGAGGGGAGGGGGCGGGAGGGAGAGAAGCAGGACTGAGAGAAGGCAGCGACGCCCGACCTACCGACCCAGTCCTGCCCAGCTGTATCTCAGAGCCTGTCTGCATCAGCAGCAAGGCCTGGTCCTCCATCTCCTCGTCCCTGCCGCGGGCCTCCGCGGCCGCGCCCCGGAGCGGGGGGGAGGAGGATCAGCAGCGGAGAGAGAGGAGGGGGGGAGGGAGAGGAGGAGGCAGGATTGGGAGGAGAAATACAGGGAGGGGGGGAGGGGAAGTGGAGGACAGAGGAGGATGGCGACGACGAGGACGAGGAGGAGCGGGAGGAGGAACACGCGGAGCAGAAGCAGAGCAGCAGGAGCAGGAGCACGAGCAAGATGATCATCGGCGGCGAGCGAGAGAAGGAGGAGACCTTCTCAAAGGCGGCGGTGCTTCTCAGAAGCCCTAGCTAGCACCTTCCGAGGAGTTACCAGCGTCTTCGGGGAAGACATTTCAAGACTTCTCAGAAGGCATGGGGACTTCCGAGCCTTCTGAGAAACCCCGCCCCTTCTCGCTCCCGCCCCGGGCTCGCCGCCGACAAGGTGGTCGGGAGCACGGGCAGATGGGAGGTCGCTCTGGACGCGCCAGTGCCAGCGCGAACCCAGGTGGGCTCTGCAGGATACGATGCCCAAGAGAGCGGCCCACCTTCTGCCAGTTCTGCGGGCCGCCTCAGGACCAGCTCCGTCCGAGTGTACCACCATACGCGCCCAGGAGAACGCAACAGCACCCTCGACGCGGCAAAGGGGGCTCCTCAGCAAAACGGGGGGGGGCCTCTCGGAAGAACGAGGTTCACGAATGGCTCGCGCCACGACTCTCTTCCCCAGCTCATCCGCACCGGGGAGAAACCCCCACCCAGGCAAGGTCTTCCCGTCAGTAGGGAATGTTTTCTCCACTCCGTGTCCAACGCGAGCGAGCAGACCCAGCCGTGCGCCAGCATGCGCACCTGCCGAAGGGCAGTCGACAAGGCTGGGCTCAGGGCCGCCGAGCGCCCGCTGGACGTCGGCAACGGCAGCCCCCGCGGCCGCCGCCGCCGGGCCCAGCAGCCCACGCACAGCCTGGCACGCGGCGCACGCCACTGCCGAGGCATCGCGAAAAGCCTGGGCCGCTCCGCGCTGGCGCTCCATGCGGACACCCCCAGGCCTTCTGCGTCGTGCCTCCTTCACGCCGTGGGCCCCCAGAGCTCTGGATCCCGCCCCTGAGACCTGCTGCTTCGCCCGTGGAGTTTTCGGGTGGCTCCGGGGCCTGGAGAAGGCCCGGGGGTTGGAGGCGGCGGGGAGGGTCTGAACTGGATGGGACCCCAGAAAACCTATCAAAAGGGGGGCACGACGCCAAATCTGCTTGAGTCCATCTACTGCAATGTTTCACCCCGGATCTGGTTTGGACGGTCCCAGGGCCCGAAAGCAGCCCCCAGAGGCAGGAAAGGCAAACAACTGCCTTGAACCCAGAGCCTCGAACCTCCCCCCTTCCTGCTGGCCAGAACCAATGCTGGGCCACCTCCAGCCGGCTACAACCCGGGGGCGCCGAGGTCCCGAAAGAGCGCGCGTTGCGTCCGTGTCCTCACGACGCTCGGAAGTCTATACCGCCCCGGTCGCCGTGCTCAGCACACGCGACGCCGTCCCTGGTGCACCTTACGGCGCGCCCGCCGTCGCCGCCGCCCCCGATGCACCGCCGCTTGGGTGTTGTTTCATGGAGGGCGAGGCATGGGGGGAAAGAAAGGTGCACTTCTCAGGCCCTAAAATGCCCCTCTTGGCCTCTTGGGCGCCTTTGGGGCCCTAAAGGGCCCCTCTTCTGCAGCCCTCGCTGCACCCCCTCATTGATCGCCCCCCCATTACGCGACGCAAACGCTGCCGCGCGGTGCACTTCCACCGGCACACGCACCCCGCTGTCGACGGCGGGCAGGCTCGGCTGCACGCAAGAGTTGCCCCAGAGTCAGTTGCCCCTGGTGCGCGGCCTGAGGGGGAGGCGTGCACCTCTGGGAGCACCGCCAGGCGCGCATGCCGCTGCTATCGCATCGCATTCAGCGGTCGGGGGGCCCCACTGGGCCCGCACCAGAGGTCACTCAGGGCGAGAGGCCACTCTCACGTGTAACCGACAGACAAGGCCGCCACAACCACACAGGCCATGGCCAGGTGTGACTCTGTGACCAGAACACCCTGATCTTAGTCACGTGTTCGACCGTGCACCCCTCGTCACCCCTCGGCGTTCGGGCGGTCTTCGGTGACTTCGGCGGTCTCCTGCAGTCTTTGGCGCAAAGGCTGGATGGTTGCGTTCAACCAGGGAGCCATGATCGAGCATCGAATGCCCGGACACCACCCCAGAAGCAGCTCTTTATTGCAGCAGCGCCCAGCCATTGCGGCGAGGACACCACCGAGGGCCAGAGGAAGGCACATTAGAGCACAGCAAGCGCACGCACAGGGAAGCCGCGCACGCACACCTCTTCGTCGTGGGCTGCGGCCGTTGGTACGGATCCTGGGGGACAAGGGGTCCTGGAGGAAGAACAGGATCCTGGGCCCCGTGGCTTCCCCAGGGTCCAGCTTATCATGCCGAGCCGTCGATCCCCGACGGTCCCAGGGTCCCGGGGAGGGCCCCCATCGCCGAACACGGCGAGCAACCTCAGCCTTCCTCTGGGGCCCCCCTCTCTTCATTGCCGTGCCTGCCAGGCGCAGCAGACGCAAATCATGCAGCTTGCCGTCGCTCGGACGTCCATGATCCGTGCGTTGTTCGGCTTCGTGCGTGTTCGTTTGCTCGATGATCCGAGGTGCTCCGCCATGGTCCTCGCCGGAAGAATGCACACGTCCGAGCGACGCCGAGATGCAGGGGCCCGTCGATCCTGCTGGCTCTCGGACTCCTTCTGGGCCTGCACCTCCTTGGCCTTCGCCTCCTTCTCCGCCTCGATCTTCTGCACCTTCACCGGGCCGGGGAGCCGCAGGGAGCTCCTCGTCCTTATTCTTATGACTATAAGTTCTTGTGTGTGTGTGTCTTTAATAAGAAGCCTGTTACTTCTGATTTGCGTTATTTTGCTGCTCCCTCTCTCTCCTCCTCCTCCTCCTCCTCCTCCTCCTCCTCCTCCTCGTCCTTGGCCTCTTCCTCATCCTTTCTCCACTTCATCCTCTTGCACATCCATGTATATGCAGATCCGGAGCTCCTCCCTATCGCACCCCCGGACGTATCGTTAGCGTGGGCTGGGCGTTTGGACTGAAACTTCCCCACCATTCATGATCCTGAAGCTTGAAGTTTGCAACAGCCTCAAGGATGGAGGGCGGGTCCTCTTCAAAATGGGACCTTCGCCTGAGCGCCGCGTACATTCGTCGTAATAGTTCGCAACAATACAAAGGTGGAGGGCGGGCCGTTTTCAAAATGGAACTCTCGCCAAAGCGCGGCGCACACTGCTTGTGTAAACTCGCGGCAACCAGGAGGATGGAGGACGTTTTTATTTTTTTGTTTTCTCAACATGGGGCTCTCGCTTGAGCCTAAGCGGCTCCAAGCTTTAACACACGCATCATTGCACAGATTGAGGGAAGCTGTTTTCAAGTTGAGGCTCTCACATGAGACGTCCTCGAAGGGCATGGCCACAATCGCAAGTTTGTGCAACACTTACGCGGAAGAGGAATTATCCCGTTCTCAAAAGGGGGGATCAAAGCTTGGCCAGAAAGACGCAAGGCATTTTTTTCAGAACGGGGCCCTGGTCAACATGACAGGCACCTATGGAGCTGCGCTTGCAAGGGGGCTCTTCTTGTAGTGAATATGAACATTTGCAAGGGCGTATGCGGAAGCGACCTGCGACGACAGGGCGTATTGCAGCATCGCGGATGCATCTTGGGTTTACTCTGGACCTTCTCTTCCTCATCATCTATCCTCCCTCCTCCTCCTCCTCCTCCTCCTCCTCCTCCATCTTCCCTCTTCCTCCCACCTTCTCCTCCCCCCTCTCCTGCTCCTCCCTCCTCCCTCCTCTACCTGTTCCTTCTGCTCCTTCTGTTGATGCTGTAGCTGCTGCTGTTTTCCCTCCTCCTCCTCTGCAGTGTCCTCGGCGCTTTACAATGTCAGGTGGATGATTGCTGGGTGTGCGTCAGTCTGTACCACGAAAGCCACCAAGACAACCTCGAGGACTGAAAAAAACAGGTCTGAGTTGCTGGTCAGTGAGCCCGTAAGATCGTCACCTGTGCGATCCACCCTACTGGGGCCTACGCGTCAGCTATAGACGGGCTTTCTGCTACTAACCTGAATAAGTTGAGGTGCCTGGAGCTGTCGGCCACTGGGCCCAAGGCCAACGATAACACCAGAAACGTGACGTTTGCGATTTTGAGTCCAAGTGGGCTCTCGCTCCAGTGTTGAGGTGGGCTCATGAGGTCTGGGCGGCGTCAATGAGACAAGCGAGCCCGCTGGGAACCAGCACTGCGGTACTTCGGTGAAGCTAAACATGTTTTGGAACAGATCGGACCTCAAGCTGGGCTTAAGTACTGATCTGTTCCAGGTCCTGTCGCTGCTGCGGTGCGTGCTCTTGGCAAGATTCGGTGGGGTTTCACATGGTTCACCACCTTGCGCACGCATGACGGCAATCTTAACAACATGCGCGACATCTCCCCCAAACTGCTCGAGCACTGGTTAAGGGAAGCCGGTATAAGGAACTGGGACACCAACGCCGCCACCTCACTCCAGCATCACGAAAAACGTCTCAGCCTCTGTGTAGATGTGGCGAATGGGTCCTGGCAGCTAAGGCAAGAAAAAAACCACCGCTGAGGAAAGGGCCTTGCTCGTTGCTACTATTTATCGGCTAGTGTGCCACAGGTAGGGCTGCCCTGACAAGACATCTCACCGAAGACCGCTGTCCCTGCGTGGCCGCAGCAGCGACACCCTCTTCCACAGGCTGTTGGTGGGCTTGTCGCAGCTTACTAAATCCACCCACAAAAAATAATGAGGAAACCTTTCGACCCTTAGGATCTTGAGCAAATTCGGGAAGCAGGTGAGCGAAGTTCAGTCAACCTGTTTGGTTTCATTCCTCCCCATGTTTCTGGTCTTGACTCCTTCCCTCCCCCCTTGCAGTCGGATTATTGAAGTATGCAAAGGGGCCAATGGTCGGAACCTCTGTGGATAGCCAGGTGGGGCCTCTCACGGGCATTGATGGGACCTGTACTAGATCGGGAGTGGAAAACCTCGACAATGTCGCGTGGTTTGTGTGCGGATTCTCTAAAACGGGGGCCGCCCAGGTAGAACTTAGAGGCCATGTGCTTGTTTCGCTCCCCAGAACTCCACAGCTGAAGAGCATTTCGCCGTGTGTGCTGTTGCAGACCCTTTCGCAGACAGCAGTAGCTTACGTTCATGATGGCCACGCCGAGCCCCTGGCTGCTAGGATGTCGCGCAGGGTGCACCGCACCGCTCTGGGAAGCGGCAGTATTGCTAGACGAGGCTATCACAATGAAGGCCCACATGTCTGAAGCCAGCATCACATATGATGAGCGCATCAGTATTGAAATGAGATGCGCATGTGCTTTATCGGTGAAGCGGCCCTCTCGATGCACCCTTCTTTGGATCCTACTGCCGTTGCCGAGGTGGAGCATATATATCTATATATATATGTGTCTCTGACCACGGCGCAGCCGCAACAGGCAGGACAACTGAGCACGAGGAAACCTAATCTGTTTTTCAGTGTTGTGCACGATTGGCGTTGCAACGCGTACTTTTATGTTTAACCACGCGGGTTGTCGCCAATAGAAAAATAAGCCTCACCGACAGCTGTCGGCGAGTCCTGGGCTTCCTGGGGCGTGCCTGGGGCGTGCCTGGGCGGCCAACTGCTTTGGCGAGCTGCGGGCAGCGCGCCACTTTTGCCTTGGCAGGCCTGCAACTGGCATGCCCAGGTCCTCTCAAGAGTGGCAGCCTAAACGCTGCGAGGTCATCCTGATTCAGGGGCCCGTTGCGCCAGCGTCTTCTATTTCCAGGCCCTCCCCCTCCAGTCCGACTGCCCAATATGAGCGGCGGTGAGCGACGGTCCCGAGGAATAGGCGCGGTATCTTGTCCTCTCGAGAGTGCGAGGAGCTACGTAAACAAACAATTTTAATACGTCGGTGTTCCCTCTGAGATCGCAATGATATCTCGCACTCCTCTTCGGGCGTGGCTGGGCCCAGCCCCGCCCGTCAACATCCCTCGCGCACTTCGCTCGACATCCACCGCGCTACGAACTGTGGCAGGCGTCCCTGCGGCTGGCTCTGCGCCGCGGGAAACCTCGAACATTTTTCCCTTCGCGGCTTCGTGCCGCGCGGCTCCTGGCTCGGCCGCGCACTGCACGTGGCATCGATCGCTAGGGCGAAACCCCAGCACAAGTATGTCGTATGCATACTGAACCACTGAGGCAATGACGCTGCCACCTCGCTCCATCGTGGTCTCGACGACTGGGTGCCCTGCCCTGATGAGCCCCTCGCTGACTGCAGGGTCATAGGCAGCCTCCTCACCAGCTCGCGGTGTCGGATAGGATCCAGAGCCTTCGTCATGAGATCCGCCTCGTTCTCGCTTGCCCGGACCTTCTTGACTCGCGCCTACCACCTTCTCTTGCATCCACAAATACCTCGCATCCAGGCGCCTGACGCGACCGACGCCGAGCCTCGAGCGAATCCCTATCGCCGCCGCGCTGTCGCCAGCCACCGCCACCATCATCTCAACCCTCATCTCCCTGAACAGGCTCTTCGCGAAGATGCCCCTGGCCGCTCCGTCCGTCATCTCCACGCACTCCGCTCCTCCGCTGCCCCGTGCCTTTGAAGCTTGCTGTCCTGCCCAGCTCTCGACGGGCGCCTTGCCTATGTGCTCGAAACCTCCACCACGGTTTCGCCTCGCCACTTCGTCTCCAGCCCAGCCGGAGTCGGTCGCGATCGTGATCTCCGTCGGCATCTCCTGGCACTCGAAATGCCAAGTCATACGCGGGTACGTCGCCAGGTACGTGGCCGGCCGCTTGAGCCCCAGCTCGTGGATCGCCATCGGTTCCTGCATGCCTCGCATGATCCAGCTCGTCGCGAACTGAATGTCTGGCCTGTCCGCGGCCAAGGCCGTCGGCGCCGCAGACTAGAGCGCCGCCTTCTGTAGCTCAGGATGTCCAGGGCCGTCGGCACTCCCTTCCCGACGTTTTTCGATGCTGGGGGGATCTCTCCTGCAGCCGCCAGCATCCGATGCGCCTCTACCATTGACTGCGCGCTTCGCGTCGCCCTCCCAATGGAAGCCTTCCTCCGCCCAGCTCACCGTCCGCATCAGGAACTTGCCAGACTTCGTCTCGCCCGCAGCCTCCGAGGGCCCGACGAAGGGAGACCTCTTCACTTCGAACTATCCCCCAGGACCTCGTTGAGCCACTGCAGGTTGGCGGTCACTGCCAGGAAGTCGTCGCCATGCACCGCCACGTAGATGCCCTTCTCGAAATGGAAGAACACCATGACCGTTACCTGCAGCTTGATGAAGCCCCTGGCGATCAGCGCTCCTATGGCCATGTGTTGAGCAGCTTGCTCTCGCCCTTCGTGCCGCACATCGCCTTCACCAGCTGCAATGCCACGATCGGCTCGTCCTCGCCAGCAGGCGGCATCACGTAGACGTACTCGCCCATCGTAGCGCGGAGAAGGCGTTGCTGATGTCGCAGAGGCCGATCAGGTAGACCTTCCGGTTGCGCTCGAGCCTGGCTGCCATCGCGAGCGCGAGCCTCGCGAACTTCAGGGGCGGGGTGCCTGCGAACGTGTCGTCGCGCACCTGGCGCGCAACCTGCGGGGCCGCGGACCTGCGCCCCGCGGGGCCCGCCCCCGTCTTCCAGCCCCGGGGCCACTTGCCTCGCGCGCGCTGGCCTTTGGCCTCGTGGGCGTAGACTCGCTTGAACACGCTGTGGTCTTTCATCTTTGCTCGCTCCCGGGCGCGCCCTTCCTTCGCTCTGACTGCGGGCAG